CGTTTAGGCGATCGGCCCCCTTTCCAGAGATCCAGGCACAGCTACTGCAGAACACCAAAACTCACGAACTGGATACAAAATAGCACTCCAACTCCCGAACTGGAACCTCCCAAATAGCTGCTAGCAGACGAACAGGAAAAGCAGACAATCAGCTTACACCCCTGGCAATCAGTCTCTAACAGCATACAGTGAATCCCCCCAAGAACGAGACAAGGCTCCGTGTTGAGGGTCAAGCAGTGGTCTGAGGTGCTGGCACACCCAGCCTGGTTTTTATTACAGTCTTTCAAATACAGGACCGCCCACAGGGAGGTATAAAACAACCAATCACATCACTGTTACATCCCACATATTCCCTCCCCTTATCCTGAGAGGAAACTCAATTACACATACAGTTAAAACATACTTTCTACCCAACTTTCATAACTCTAAAACCATACATCACATTCACATAAAATTACATATTTGGAATCAATCCATTCAGGGGAGCAACATATTAAAAATGGCACAAATCAGACAAGGGGTTCAAAAGTTAGTAAAAAGTCCTTTGTGACTAAATGAAGCATGGCTTTCTGGCCCAAACCAGTTTCAGAGTCTTCTATCCTGGAGAGTAATTCAATTATCTCCCAGGACAGACACAAGACTCCATTAAGCACATGGTTGCAAAAAGACACAAAACACTTTAAAATACATAAAGTCACATTTATTACATAAAACACAGACATGTAACATATCCCCAGATAGCTCAGGTCCGAGCGCACATTATTAAGCCAATGGCGCTCAGACCACACGAATACAGTTTAATCGCCATGGAGCCAAAGTCTGTACAGTCAGTTTCATACGAATGGGCTCCATGGGATTCCTATCTGGGGTGTAACACATTCAAACAAATCTACCGAACCCCAGGCAGAAAAGCACGAATGAAGTTTTTCTCCAGGCGAAATAAAGTCTTTTAAAAGGGGGCCATAGTCCAGAGGCAGAAGGCGAGCAACCAGGCTTCTCCAATGCAATGTGGCGAGATTGGTCACAGGGCCATAATCCTGAGTTACACACAATTGGTATACTTAGCAAGCCAAAGAGGGAGGTAAGTAAAGAAGGGAGAGCAGAAAAGAGAGGCAAATGGCAGCAAACCTATAAACGGAATTATAGGTAAGTTTGAAGGAGAACATATAAACGGAATTATAGGTAAGTAGGTAAAAGGTGAAATAATAGAAATAGAGGTTTAGGCAATATGCCCCAGACAGGTTGTTACCAAGATATAATTAGATAGTAGCAAATACCTATAGTTGAAAGTATAGGATATATAGAATGACAAGCAAATCAGAACAGAATGGAAAGGTATCAGAATTTCAAGTAAATTAGAAGTTTAGTGAATCAGCCCCCTTTTGGAAGGAGCATTGAATAAAGCAGGTAAATTAATCTTTGCAATATTGGTTAGTATCGTAGTTCAGGTTGATATAAAGAAGGTTGGTTGCGTAGATCAGGTTAGAATAAAGCAGGTTGATGGCGTAGTTCAGGTTGGTAATAATGCACAGGGCCGGACTGGGAAAAAAATTCGGCCCGGGCATTTTTCAATTAGAGCGGCCCCCCAAGAAGGGGGCGGGGCAAGAGAGGGTGTGTTTTGTCATCACTAATGACAAGCACGCCCCCTCTCAAAGTGAGCATGTTGGTTCAATGCCCAGAGCCCTGCTGAAGAGCTCTGGCATTAGAAAAAGGCCCTGAATTTGCTTTTAAATTGTCTCTGGTGTCTCCACAAGTGGGATACCAGAGGACAAAAGGGCCAGGAAAGTGTATGGTGCATGTGTTTGGCGCATGCTTGTGGTATTGCGTGTGTGTAGGGTGTGGTGTGGTATTGTGTAAATAGGTCGATTTTGTGGTGTAATATGTGTGGCTAGGGGCTGTAGAGAATGCGTGTATAGGGGCATAATGTTATAGGGTATGTAGCGAGTGTGTGCATACGGGCAGTAGTGTGTGTGTGTATAGGTGACGTAGTGTGTGTAGGGATTGTAGAGAGGGTGTGTGTAACGGACCGTTTTGCACAAAAGGGGTAAAAAGGGGTTAACAGCCGTTTAGGAGATCTTCCCCTTCCAGAGATACAGGCACAGCTACTGCAGAACACCAAACTCCCGAACTGGATACAAAATAGCACTCCAACTCCCGAACTGGAACCTCCCAAATAGCTGCTAGCAGACGAACAGGAAAAGCAGACAATCAGCTTACACTCCTGGCAATCAGTCTCTAACAGCATACAGTGAATCCCCCCAAGAACGAGACAAGGCTCCGTGTTGAGGGTCAAGCAGTGGTCAGACAGAGCTGTGGGTTTATTGTGCTTATGTACACATTCTTACACATTAGTACCACCCACAGGGTTTTGGAACACAACCAATAAACACATACAATACACTCAGACACTCCCACACAAATTCCTCCCCTCTGCATGTGATTCATTTACCTTACACAATGGGTAATGTAATTAAGCACAAGCAGAGAAATACAATTTTTCCACATTATTCATAACTTGCAAAGTATGCATCACATTCACATAAAACTTACATTTTCAGAATCAGCATACTCCAAATACAAACATACGTCAAAATCATACAAATTGGTCCAGTGGTTCAAAAGATAGATTGTAGTCCTTTGTGACCACAGGAAGCATGGCTTTTCTGCCCAAAACCAGTTCCACAGAGTCTTCTATCCTGGAGATAATTAGAAGTAATCCAATTATCTCCAAAGACAGAGGCAAAACTCCATTGATCACATGGCAGCAAAAAGACAGTAAAATACAATAAAATACACAAGGTTACATTTATGACATAAAATACAGACATGCAACATATGCCCAGATAGCTTAGGTCTGAGCGCACATTATTACTGAATGGCGCCCAGAGCACACACATACAGTTCAATTGCCATGGAGCCAAAGTCTTTCCCATAGTCTTTCATTATACGAATGGGCTCCATGGCATAGCTATCTGGGGTATCACTGCTCAAACAGGGCAAGCACCAAATGACCCAGCTTTCTTGTCTTTGCAGGGGAAAATCAAGCCTTTTAACATGGGGCCATAATCCAAAGGCAACAGGCGAGCAACCAGGCTTCTCCAATGCAATGTGGCGAGATTTCTCTCGTCACAGTGTGTTTAGAGAATGTTGTATGTGTTTGCTTACAAGGAATGTAGTGTGTGTGCAGGTGGTGCAGTGTGTGTGTAAGAGATCTAGTGTGTAAAGGACCCAGAGTGTGTATAGAAGATTGTGTGTGTGTGTGTGTGTGTTTGTGTAGAGGATTAAGAGTGCATATAGCGTAAGGGATCTAATGTGTATCTGGAGCGTAATGTGTGTAGTGGTGCAGTGTGAGGGGTGCTGTAGTGTGTGTGTGTGTATATATATATATATATATAATATATATTTGGACGTATTGTATGTGTGAGGTGCGCAGTGTGTTTGTGTAAGAGGGGTGCTGTGTGTGAGGGTGTTTTTATCTGCTGTCACATTCTAGGTTTCTAATTTTCTTTGTCTGTTAACTCACTGAGGGTTATTTTATAATATATATGTGTTTATAATATATATATGTTTATATCTATATATATATGTGTGTGTGTGTGTGTGTGTGCTGTATATGTGTGGGAGTAAGGGTGCTGTCTGTCTGAGGGTGTTGTGTGTGTCTGGGGGTGCTGTGTGTGTCTGGGGATGCTGGGCGTGCGTTGTGTGTCTGGGGGTGCTGTGTGTGTCTGGGGGTGCAGTGTGTGTCTGGTTGCTGTGTGTGTGTCTGGGGGTGCTGTGTGTGTGTCTGGGTGCTGTGTGTGTCTGGGTGCTGTGTGTGTCTGGGGATGCTGGGGGTGCTGTGTATGTCTGGGGGTGCTGGGGGTGCTGTGTGTGTCTTGGGGTGTCTGGGGGTGCTGTGTGTGTGAGGGGGCTGTTAGGGAATTTATTTTAAATATTATTATTTTTTTATTAATAATTAAAAAAAAAAAGTTATGTCCCCCCCCTCCCTTCTTACCTTTAGCCTGGGCGGGGGGGAGATCCGTTCTGCCTGGGTGTGGGGAGCCGGGTATCCATTGAGGAGGAAGCTGTGCTGCCTTCCCTGGTGATCCAGTGGTGAGAGTGAACTTTAGCCTGAGGCTAGAGTTCACTCTCGCGAGAGCTGAGCGTTGCCGTGGTAACCGCGGCAACGCACAGAATCCCGCGAGAGGACCCGGTGGAGCTGCTGACTAGAGCTCCCCCGGGTCCTCTCCTCCCTCCCTCCCCAGCCTGCGGCCACCTGTGACACTGCCTGTGGGCCGGTGAGGGAGATCTTTGATCTCCCCACCGGCCCATGGAGGCACATAGCAGTGCCGGCGCTCGGATAGCGCTGGCCCTGCAGGGGCTGGCCGGGGAGATCCTGTGATCTCCCTGCCGGCTTCGGCCCCACGGCCATCGCGGCCCACCGGGCATTTGCCCGGTATGCCCGATGGCCAGTCCAGGTCTGATATTGCAGGTTGGTAACAAAGGTTGGTTAGTATCGTAGCTCAGGTTGATATGAAGAAGGTTGGTTGTGTAGATAAGGTTGGTATTCAACAGGATGGTAATAAAGAAGTAAGTTCACAGGAGCCAGGAACAGAAGTATGTTTAGGTAGACCGTCAACTTCAATCTAAAGGCCCTGTATTGAGCAGGGTGTAGCCTTTTGTAGGATACGTATGAGCCAAGGAAAGTTCAGACCTGGTTAGGGAGGCCACTAGTGGCAAAACATAGTTAACGTAGGTACAAAATTGAATGAAAGGAATAAAGTTCCAAAATGAAGGTTTGGATCCTGACAATAACACAGTAATGCTCGCCAACTCCCAGAAAAAGCCTATCTACTTATCTACTAATCAGGGTAAATTGTGTACTCTTAAATATGGCAACCCCACATGATGATACTAAATTAGGGAGCTATTAAGAAAAAAGCCTTTTTCTGTTTCATAATACATACGTCCCTAATATGTTATCCTTTGGAAAAGGAATTGCTCCAGAAACATTTTGATCAATTTGTTCCAAAGTCTATAATTTTCCGTTTTTGTCGTGGTGTGGGAATTTGGAAATTTGGATTTTGTCTGAATTTGGATGGATTTTAATTTGGAACTAAACAAATCAACATGTTTAGTTATTTCAGAATAAGGTGAATACAGAAAAACTCTCCCTTGAATGTGGACTCCACTTCTTTCCTGCTCTTCAGATGAAAGCCTGTGTCGCTCGTTACCCATAGAGTTGTAGCCAGTTGAATCCTTCAACACAGTGATGTAAATAAAACCCTTTTAAATGGAAAACATTTTAATGGAAAACAGTTTATTCCTTGGATTGCAGAAGGATTGCTAATGGAACCACCGATCTTTTCACAGAAAATTTGGATTCAACCATTTAAAATACTGTTTTTTACCACAGGACTTCCAGGATCTCCAGGAAGAGCTGGTGAAAAGGGGGAGAGAGGAGTTCTAGGTAATGAGAAGCCATAGTAGTGACACTTTTGCCAAAATAGCAGCCAGTAGACAATTACCCTTTAATACACACCACAATACAGTCTACCCATCACCCCATGTCATAGAGAACAATGAGTGTATGACACGGGGCGAGGGACACATATTTCGTTGTGTACTCTTGTAATGTCAGCGTATTCCCCTTTGTCACAGTGTCCCCTCTGTTTGCATCCTCACTGTGTATTGCTTCTGTCTGTCTTTCTGGTTACTATGTTTTATTGACTCTTTCAGAACTTTTTTGTTTTGCTTTTTTTTCTGTTAGGATCAAAAGGAAACCCGGGGCCAAAAGGTGACCAAGGACCTCCAGGTGAGATCCGTGGTTCCAGGGAAGTGTCTCACACACGTGGTGCACAAGAGAGGTTACGGGGTGGTGTGTGAGGAAATAATTGCTCACGGGGTGATCTGGGAGGAAAAGAGTGGTTACTGGTTGGTCTGGGACGTGAGCAAGAATCCATGGTTCCTGGGAAGTCACAGGGTGGTCTGGGAGGAGAAGGTGGTCTGGAAAGAAAAGATTGCTTAGAGGGTGGTCTAGGAGGAAGAGAGTGGCCACTGCTTGGTCTGGGTGGATAAGGATGGTCACAGGGGTGGTCTGGGAGGAGAAGGGGTTTCACAGGGTGGTCTGGGAGGAGAAGAGTGGTCATGGGGTGGTCTGGGAGGAGAAGGGTAGTCTGGCAAGAAATAATTGCTCACGGGGTGATCTGGGAGGAAAAGAGTGGTTACTGGTTGGTCTGGGACGTGAGCAAGAATCCATGGTTCCTGGGAAGTCACAGGGTGGTCTGGGAGGAGAAGGTGGTCTGGAAAGAAAAGATTGCTTAGAGGGTGGTCTAGGAGGAAGAGAGTGGCCACTGCTTGGTCTGGGTGGATAAGGATGGTCACAGGGGTGGTCTGGGAGGAGAAGGGGTTTCACAGGGTGGTCTGGGAGGAGAAGAGTGGTCATGGGGTGGTCTGTGAGGAGAAGGGTGGTCACATGGTGGTCTGGGAGGAAAAGAGTGGTCACGGGGTGATGTGGGAGGAAAAGAGTGATCACAGGGTGGTGTGGGAGGAGAAGGTGGTCTGGGAAGAAAATATTGCTCACAGGGTGGTCTAGGAGCAAAAGAGTGGTCACAGGGTGGTCTGGGAGGAAAAGAGTGGTCACAGGGTGGTCTGGGAGGAAAAGATTGAACACGGGGTGATATGGGAGGAGAAGGTTGGTCTGGGACAAAAATAGTGGTCACAGGGTGATCTGGGACAAAAAGGAAAACAAGTTGTGTGACCCAAGTGATGGGGTATGAACTGTATAACCTGGGATTTGCATAAAATGTGAATTAATTGTATTACAATAAAATAATTCAGAGTTTATTTTAAAAATGCATTTATGGTGTAAAGTATATAGATTCATCGCACATAGCAAAAACATTTCTACATTTTGAAAGCATTTCACCAAACTATTTTTCTCCTTATCTGCTGTAGTAGCTGCATAAAGCAGAGAGTACAACGTCTTTTAAAACCAGTGGTTATTTTCTACTTGTAAATACACTTTATTGATTTCATAAAAAAACATATATAAAGCGACACTCCAGACTACCTTTGCTGTTTACCCATAAAGCAGGTTACCTTTGCGGTTTACCCATAAAGCAGGTTACCTTTGCCGTTTACCCATAAAGCAGGTTACCTTTGCTGTTTACCCATAAAGCAGGTTACCTTTGCCGTTTACCCATAAAGCAGGTTACCTTTGCCGTTTACCCATAAAGCAGGTTACCTTTGCTTACCCATAAAGCAGGTTACCTTTGCTGTTTACCCATAAAGCAGGTTACCTTTGCTGTTTACCCATAAAGCAGGTTACCTTTGCCGTTTACCCATAAAGCAGGTTACCTTTGCTGTTTACCCATAAAGCAGGTTACCTTTGCCGTTTACCCATAAAGCAGGTTACCTTTGCGGTTTACCCATAAAGCAGGTTACCTTTGCAGTTTACCCATAAAGCAGGTTACCTTTGCTGTTTACCCATAAAGCAGGTTACCTTTGCCGTTTACCCATAAAGCAGGTTACCTTTGCTGTTTACCCATAAAGCAGGTTACCTTTGCTGTTTACGCATAAAGCAGGTTACCTTTGCTGTTTACCCATAAAGCAGGTTACCTTTGCTGTTTACCCATAAAGCAGGTTACCTTTGCTGTTTACCCATAAAGCAGGTTACATTTGCGGTTTACCCATAAAGCAGGTTACCTTTGCGGTTTACCCATAAAGCAGGTTACCTTTGCCGTTTACCCATAAAGCAGGTTACCTTTGCCGTTTACCCATAAAGCAGGTTACCTTTGCTGTTCACCCATAAAGCAGGTTACCTTTGCTGTTTACCCATAAAGCAGGTTACCTTTGCTGTTTACCCATAAAGCAGGTTACCTTTGCCGTTTACCCATAAAGCAGGTTACCTTTGCCGTTTACCCATAAAGCAGGTTACCTTTGCTGTTCACCCATAAAGCAGGTTACCTTTGCTGTTTACCCATAAAGCAGGTTACCTTTGCTGAAGTGCTTTCAGTGTAGAATGTGTCCTCTTTTTTCATTTTACAAAACGTGCAGATTTCAACAGAAATTGACACTTTTATAAATGAACCTGGTTACACATCGCTAGTGTTGGTTGGAGTCTCCCGTTAATCTTTATTTACACATTTCATAAGTGTAACTTTTATACATGTATTTTGGCCGAGCAGCAATACATAAAGCAGTACAAATTACTAGTAATACACTCATCCTGTGTTGTGTGGGAAGCAAAATCGGATCAAAGATTGAATTGGTTGCACTATTTTGAACTGGCACATTTTTGATTAAAAAGATGGGTGGCACGTAAGTCGAGGATCAGCACAGGTTAAAAGCGTTATCGCTTGGTCTAAACAATGTCCAGGGAGACCATACATCATCATATTTTTTCAGATTATTAGTATTTCCATATTAATATTTTTCCATTGTGTGAGTATTTCGTTCAGACTTGGTAGTGAGTTTAATCTCCAATAATTTGCAAGACAGAATTTCGTGGCCATCGTGAAATGAATAATAACAAGGTATTTCATTTAGATTTTTTGGTAGATCTAAATGAAAGAGAAACCATTGAACCTCTATGTTACTTTCTTTCTTCAGGACTTTTCTATATATATATCTTAGTTACAATAGGTTTAATATTATTTAAAGCTGTACAGCCCCAGCAAATATGGATAAAGGGACCCAACTATACTTTACATTTCCAACAATAATTAGGATTACTGGCATTGATTTTATGTAGAATTATCAGAAATGTATACAATCTGTGGAGGATTTTTAATTGCATTTTAAATAGATTGACACAATGTGTGGCTTTTTTGAAAAGTCTGAAAGAACTGTACTAAATTTCTAATGAATAATTCACACCCATATCTATCTCCCACTGTACCAAACTTTTTGATTTATTATCTTTTTTTTATTGTAAATCTGGCAGTTCTACTACACATTCATCTGTTTTTCCCCTTTTTCGTGTGTTTTACCCTTTTTCCGTTCGTGTGTACTTCATACGAATAAAGTCCATTCGTCTCCCGAACGAGGACCACCCCTGTACCCCATTAGAACGTTCACCCCAGTAACTTAAGTGCGAATCCCGCAAGGGAAGTAATTAATGAATGCTCCCCTGGGTGGCCGCCATTTCGTATAACCGAGCACGTGGCAGACAAAAGAGTGGCGGCCATCTTGTCTCCCGAACGTGGGCAGTGGTACTTGGTCGTCGAGTGCCTAGAACTCTTTTTGGCTAGGTCCTCGCGCAAACCCCGGTAAAACTTAGACCGCTGTCGGTTCTATTTCTCCCCCCCCCACACGAACAACTTTCAGGAGAAATGAACTACCAACCAGGGGGAGCATTCGTATCCCGAAATTAAATGATTCCCTTGCTTGGTATTCGCACAAGAACCTCACCATCCTCATGAACTAGCCAGAACACCTTTTTTTCATGGAACTGTTCTGGGCTAGTGCCTCATGTCTGGCCGGTCAAAACTTTACCTCAATGGCATTCCCGTTTCATCAAACCAATCTGAGTGATTCTTGGATATATTGTACACTCAGATCGGGGCTATCGGGGGATGTACTTTTTGTGGGGTTCATGAGTATGGTGGGGACACTTTTGGGGTACTGTATATTTTGTTGGATTTTCTGTACCTGAGAGATAATGAGATTAGAGAGTTTTTCTCTCGCAATTAGCTCTCAGGCACAGAGGATCCTGAGATTGAAACCCCTGTTTTCTTGCATTGTAAGCCCCATGTAGCATAAAAGCCGCATGTGTGACAATAAACTTCAGTTGACATCCCAGGACTATGTTTCGTCTGGTTACTGGGGGAATGCGGATTTACTTGTGTTGATGGTTCCAGAGTGGCTGAAGGAATGTAATAGCGGAGGAAACCAGTCGGATTACTCTTGGTCCGCTACATGCTGGTGGCAGCGGTGGGATGGTACTTCCTAACCGAACGAAACCAGCATTCGTTAATCGAATGAACTGGTGAACGGATTAATGAATTACGCCGCATTAAAGAGACAAATGCTGAAAGAGTTCCTGGAAGCCCAGAGGACAATTTGTCAGCAACAGGTCCAAGGCGGATATCACTGCCACACTCATGGAGGACCCCTGAGGTGTACTGCAGAAAATTTTAAGAATCCAAAAAAGTGGAAAAGGATTCTCAAGTGGAGTGGGCCTGTCGTTTAACTGGGCAGCCCAAAACTGGATGCATTCTCAAAATGCCAAGTCCCCAGAAGAAATTCTCCAATTATTCATGTTGGAGCAATTTTATAATGGTCTCTCCACTGAGGTGCAGGAATGGGTGAGGGGCAGGCAACCTAACACTCTGATGGAAGTGGCACAGCGGGCAGATGAGTATCTGGATGCCCGGCGATCTCAACGTCCCGCTACCTTTAAAAGCTACAGACCACCCATGTGTCCTACCCCACCGTTCTCTTCAACTACAGCACCCCTATCCAGAAGTCAACCTGCTCCGGCACCATCCCACAGGTCACCAAACTGGGCAGCAACTCCGTGCCATCAATGTTTCAGATATGGCCACATGAGAAGGGATTGAGACCGGCCTAAATGGATTCGCCCAGGACTTCCTCTAGCCCCACGAGCAGCTGCCCACTGTTACCAGGCTGCTCCCATGTGCTCCCAACCCCAACGAGAAGGTCTGGACCTTCCTACATGAGCCAGATCCAGTACAAGCCGCGGCGGATAATCGGAAACCACCACGGGCAGCCGGTCAAGCTGAATGGGCACACCGTGCAGGGTCTGCGGATCACAGGGGCTACACTGACCCTAGTACAGCACCAGTTGATC